ACACACGCTCTTGTAATTCTCTTGATTTGACTCTATCCCTATGTTTGATTCACTCCTAGAGCAATGTCTGTCTTCAAAATGTAAATAGACCACGCCATTTCGATATGATCATTGTTTCCTCATTCTTGTAATTCTCATGATTTGACTCTATCCCTATGTTTGATTTACTCCTAGAACAATGTCTGTTTTCAAAATGTAAATAGACCATGCCATTTCGATATGATCATTGTTTCCTCATATATCAAGTAATTTTGAAACAGGTGACTATTCAGAAGATGCAGGGAGATGTTGATCCAAGGTGAACAAAAGCATTAACAATTCACAATTTGCATTTATTTATCTTTTTTACTTGCGTTTTAGCTTCTAATTTAAGTTTTTCCAATCTCCTCTCTACTAATTTACGAAACGGACTTTGTAATCTCAGAAAAATTGGAGACAATGGAGATCCTGTACTTTCTCAAGACCGAAGCTTGAAAAGCCGGCAGAGCAATGACCATACAGATGAAAATGATGAAAGTTTTACTGAAGTAAGGCCTAGAATTATCTACGTTGATATTCTGTTTCAATACAGTCCAGGAAGGGCTGAACTGAACAAGTTCCTTTTTGGCAAATCTTGAAAATGGATGGGCTGTGTTATTCAAGGTTATAACTGAAATATTCCTTGATAAATGTCACAGGACAGGGACTTGAACATTCTTTTATCACAGAATTCTGAACAAGAAAGCAGCTTCAGATCATCTGTTGGGGGCAATTCTAGCTTCAAATCAGTTCTCAGACAAGACTCAATGCCTCCAAAGGGTGCAGTCGATGGCATCACAACAAAAAACCGCTTGCATCGTAGAACAAGCACAGATTGGTCAATGGGTTCAAGGTCAGATGGAAGTTTAGTTGGCTCAACAAACAGCCCTGAACAGAGCCTTGCAAGAGAGTTTCAAGAAGGTTCAGATGAAACCATTGGAAGACTGAAAAGTGAATTATCTAGTCTAATGAGGCAGTCAGAATTATCAGAATTGGAATTACAGACTCTTCGGAAACAGATTACCAAAGAGAGTAGAAGGGGGCAGGATTTATCAATACAGGTTAAGGAACTTGAAGAGGAAAGAGATGAGCTCAAAACAGAATGTGAGCAGCTCAAGTCTTCAAGAAAATCTGTTGAAGGAGAATCCCTGAATCAATTGCGAGCCGAGTACGAGGATTCTTTGGCTCAGCTAGAAGAAATCAGGCGAGAGCTTAGTCATCAAAAGGATTTGAACACCAATCTTAAGTTGCAACTCCAGAAAACACAAGATTCAAATTCTGAGTTGATTCTTGCTGTGGGAGACCTTGATGAAATGCTGGAGGAAAAAAAAAGGGAAATATCTTGTCTGTCCAGCAAGCTAGAGGAGGCTCAGGAGAAAAAATGCAAATGCAGCATGAAAGAGGGCACGGATCAGCATGCAGTGCTTGCTCCGGAAGAAAAGGCTAGGGAAGATGATGAATTATGTCTGCTGAAGCAAAGGGTCATAGACCTATCTGATGAAATTGAGGTCCACAGAGAAAATAGAGAAAAACTGGAGAATTATATCGAACAACTCACACAGGACTTTGAGAATCTAAAGCAGGAAAACTATGATGTATCTTCCAAGTTAGAGCAGAGCAAGATACAAGAACACAAATCGTCAGAATCTTTGGCTACCATTAAAGAACTTGAATCACAGGTACAGAGATTAGAGGAAAGATTGAAGACGCAAACACAAGAATTCTCAGAATCTTTGGTTTCCATCAATGAACTGGAAATTCAGGTCAAAGGGTTGGGGAAAGAACTGGAAAAACAGGCACAAGGATTTGAAAATGACCTTGATGCCATGACACATGCCAAAATTGAGCAGGAACAGAGAGCTATCCGTGCAGAAGAGGCCTTGAGGAAGACAAGGTGGAAAAATGCTGTTACAGCAGAGCGGATTCAGGAGGAATTCAGAAAACTTTCTGTGGAAATGGCAGGCAAGTTTGATGAGAATGAGAAGCTGACAAAGAAATCAATATCAGAAGCTGATGAACTCCGAGCACAGAACAGAATTCTGGAAGACAATCTTCGGAAAGCTAACGAAGAGCTTGCACTGGTGATGGACCAGAAGGGAGTAAAAATGGAAGAACTATCAATGCAACTAGATTTGAAGACAAAACATGTAGAGCATATGTCAGTGGAATTAGAAGATGCTTCCAACCAACTGAAGCAAGGAGGAGAAATGCAAGAGGCTTTCCAAGTTGAAATTCAAATGCTGAAAAAGGAGATAGAGACACTCAGAAAAGAGAAGAATGACATCTCTGAGCAGGAAAAGGTGAACTTAAGAGATGAAACAGAGAAATTGAAGACATCTTGTGAAGAAACAAATATACTAACAGAAAGATGGAAAAGAGAGAGAGAGGAAATAGAGGAAAAAATTGCATATGCAAAGAAGGAAGCAGAAAACACAAGGCAAGAATTAGTCATTGTGAGGTCGTTAAAGGATGAAAAAGAGGCAATGATCAAGAACCTTTCATCGCAACTTCAAAGCCTCAGAGATCAGCAGATTGCGTTAAAACATAGCCTGTCCGAAGAAGAATGGGAGAGAGAAAAACTGCAGCAACAAGTAATCAAATTAAAGGGTGAACTGCAAAAGAAGGAACATGGAAATACTAGTGTAATGGAGAAGCTCTCTTTTTCAGATGAAAAGAACTTGACTCCAATGGACGATGAAATGCAGATGAAAGGAAGAAAGGGTATTGAAAGGTAAAATTTCAAGTTCTTGTTTACATCCTGATTATTGTGCCTTTTCATAGACCCACCACCTTTTTCTTGTGTAATTAATTTCCAACACTGAAAAATCTAAGCGCCTCATTGTGCATCCAAATATGTTTTAGTTTATGATCATAATCATCACTGAAATTGGTTTCATTCTTCGATATTTGTTTTGACAGAAAAGCAAGAACTTGCTCAAAGGAAGAACTAGTAGTGGGCACTTTCCACCCAATGGATGAGGGTAATCTAACTGAACTGTTGACAGAAATGGCTCAGCTAAAAGAAAAGAACAAATGTATGGAATTTGAGCTAAAAGAAATGCAAGAGAGATACTCAGAGATCAGCCTCAAATTTGCAGAAGTAGAAGGTGAAAGGCAACAGCTTGTCATGACTGTACGAAACCTCAAGAATGGTAAGAAAAGCTAGCATTCTTACTCTTTCAGACATGGATGTCAGACAAAGAAATGAAGCGTGAGTGAAGAAGCATCTGCTAAAGTGAGCCTCTGACGAGCAAGACTGTTGTTCTGTTCAACATTATGCACGTTGTAATGGGAGTTGAGCTAGAGGTGCTCTAGAAGCAGGACAAAAGTTCAGAAAGGAGTAGATCTTTCACTAAAAACATAGTAATTACATGCTCCTTTGCTTTATGCGGATTTTGTGTACTCCTTATTTGTGATGTTCATGTAGGCTATATAGTTGAAGTATTAGTGCCTAAGCTGAAACGTGGTTATATTGAGAAACTACAAGACTGAAAGTGAGATATATAAAAAGAGATACCAAATTTCAGACATCACTGTCTAGAATTTAAAGTTAAACAATGGCAGCATATTTATGTTCACTGATACCTTTTCACATTATAGTGCTTGCTGCACAGCTCCGAATGTGTTCAAGCAATCCAATTATACACCAAGACTCTCGGCTATGCAAATTTGCTGAAACTTGGTGTTTGATACAACCATGGGTGTGATAATAATATCTAAGTTGACTGTGTTAAAAGAAGTTTACCTATCATAGCTATGTTCATCAAAAAAATAATGGCATTTTTGCAGAATGTAGAGGTTAAGATATTGCAATATCATATCATGCGCAGGAAAAAATGGCATTGTTACAAGATTTAGAAGAAAAGTACAGAATTGGTACAGATGTTCAAGTACAAAACTATAGCTTTATCAACACAACCCCAGATATCTATAGCTTTCAGAACAATTCTTTCCCCTCAATTTCTCCTGAACTTTTTGCTCAGATGGTGGTGGGCACTTCCATCAGTCCAGACCAGCCTAGTCTGGCTTCCACTATCATCCATTGCAAAATATAAACCATGTAGTTGATGAAGTATCTTATTGTGATGACAATTTAACACAACAAAATTTCTCACACATGAGGGTTCCCATATCATACCTGTGTTGATCTCTTATCACTGTAAGTCCATGTTGGAATTAGAAAGGCTAGAGTTCTTTCATACCGGGATGAACTTAACAAATTTATGCTTCTTTCTGCTGCTTCTACTCATGTACTTTTCTAGGAGTGCTCCCACCATGGCACTTGAGAAATTCAAGTATAGACGGACTTCTTCTATCAGTAGCCTTTGATATATTTCCTGAACACCAAAAATGTGGAGTAGATGTATCATGTGCAAGGGGTGGAAGGAATTGCTGCAGCTACCTTCTCTTTTCCCTTACCCCGTTAAGAAACACTACAGTCCAGGGAAAACGTGGTTGTGGAGTGGCAGGGTGGATTGCCTTAGAAAGGGGCGTTCCACTTCCACTGCAATGTGATCTCTCTTCTTTAAATGGAAACCCGGTGGAATTTCCTGCAACTCCGTGTAGAAGCATCCTTCTAGGAGGGTTTTCAGTGTAATGTTTAACCCGTGCCAGTCGTTTAAGAGATCCGACTCGTCATCAACTCAAGAAATATCATGTGATTACCCTATAAGAATAACAATATTCGATCACTTATAACTAATATTTATCCTTCACCGTCAAAGCAAGTTTTGAACATTTTTATATAGTTAAATAATACATTAATTATTCCCATTCCAACAAGGTCGTTGTAGTATAGTGGTGAGTATTCCCGCCTGTCACGCGGGTGACCCGGGTTCGATCCCCGGCAACGGCGTCCTTTTGTTTTTTGGTCGATCACGAATTATTTTGTCCTTCTCTCTTCAAATTTCAACAAGGGTCTGTGTTTCTTTCCAAACCAAAAGCCGACGACACATCACTGGAGTACACTACAGACACAACGGACTTTATTTCTTTGATATACTGGAGGGTAAAACTTGATATCATCCACTAGTGGAATCAACTTTGGTCCTCTCCCTGTAAGTCCATACAATTTGATGATATTCAATAGACCCTTGTGATTTTTTTGATAAAGTTTACCCACTCCCGTCGACCACTCTCTCCGGCATTGCCACCGCGTGTACAAGCAGCTCTGGTACGTGTCAGGAAATGGAGATATCATGCTTACACGTGTCGAATGCCCTTCAAACCCACCTCCATGCAAGTGGGGCAACTGCAAGATGTTCTTGTCTTGGTCCCTCTACAAAATTATTCCATTTTTTTATTCCCTGGATGGTTATCTTTTTCTGTCGAGAAAGTAACTGACTGATAGAAAATTGTTTTCGGTCTAATCTCTGGCAATTTCTGCTTTCGCTATGGAGCCACTAATGGCACGCACACTCGGTGTTCATGACCATGAACATGGTCCCAAGAATGTTGGACTGCATCCTGGTAAGAACCTTATTTACTTAATTTCCTATTTTATTGAAGCGTGGTTTATGTTTTTGTTAAGTTTTATGTACTGTGAAATGTTGGCGCTAGAGGGTGAAGATGAGCATCGCCATGATAAGAAGTCAGTGTTGAAGAAAGTGAAGGATAAAGCCAAGAAATTGAAGGAAAAAGTGAATAAAACAGCAGCCTATAGTTCTGCTTCTCTTAGAAACTCAGCCCATGGACAAGGGGGAGGGTTAAGTGACCGTAGGACATATTATGGAGGTCCACCGAAAAAGTGAATAAAACTGCAGCCTATAGTTCTGCTTCTCTTAGAAACTCAGCCCATGGACAAGGGGGAGGGTTAAGTGACCGTAGGACATATTATGGAGGTCCAACAACAATGCAAGAAGAACATTCAGGCACTGATCCCATAACGAGCTCTGTTCTTGGACAAGAGGAAGATGAGTTAGCACCCCCAAAAGTTCTTCTCGAAAGGACAACTGCTATTAAAGAAGTACCTCATGCCCCAGTTAATTCGCCTGCTGATACCGTTAAAGGTTTTGTTCACGAACAAGAGAGGATTCGAGGGCAACCTGAAGTTAATTTGGAAGCACCAGTAGGGTTGGAGGAGGATCCTCACGCCCCAAAGGATAGACTTGTGGATAATGCTCCTTCTAATTATCAGACTAGGTCACTGATCCAACTGGTTCTGGCAAGTTCTGTTCAATGTTTGCATGCCAACAAGGCCTTTTTGGCATTGATGTTTGGGAAATTTTTTTGTCTTTCAGAGGGGCTAATTATTGCATTTTGCAGGAGGGAAAGAGGCTGGAAAAACTCAATGCTTCAGTCTTTTGAAAAAATGAATATCTATGATGAATCGAAACAAGGAGAAAAGAAGGACTCATCTGTCAGACCGCGTGATGCTCAGCCCTCTATGTTTCCCACTGGGAGCCATGACCAATTTTCTGCAGAACCAACTCCCCCAATTTCCAATAACCCCAAAGAGAACCCAGAATCAGGTTCAGAGTCCATTGACACCTCGAAAATCAAGGAGCAACCACGAGGTACCATTGCTGAGAAACCATCAAACCAGAGCAGCAACACTGGAAAAACCTACTCTGCGACTTCTGCAATTGCTGATAAAGAAAGATCTGCCACAAATGTCATAGCTTCCGAGTTTGGATATATAGAGAGAGACGATAATATTCAAGAACATGAAGTGGCACATGAAGGACAAAATGCTGCCAGCATCGTCAGTGGAATATGGAAAGAAAATCGCTGCAACTGTGACAGAGAAATTCACTCCAGTGTGAAAAACTTGTTGGTTTAGGCAGTACTGTGATGTCAAAAGTCCATGGCAATACTAACACTAGCACCAACACCAGCAATGAAGCAGACAACATGATTAAAGGGAAAGATAAAGGGGTGTCAGTGAGACTATTTCGTGGAGAAGTTGAGTCCTGGAGAAGAAGACAAGGCGCTCTCTGAAGTTATTTCAGAGACTTTGAACAAGGGGAAGGCTGAGGCAGTGACAGAGTCGGAGGAGGTGAAGAGGAGGTTAGAGAGTAGTAGTCCAGAAGAGCATTCTGGTGAAAGGGTGGATTCAGGCTCTGTGCATATTCCTGATAAAACTCTGGTTGATAAGCTTAAAGGTGCTGTTGGTTCTTTGTTTGTCAAAGGTGAAGGGTCCAGGGCATCTCAGCAGCATCCCCTTAGTAACTCCAATGCAGGTAGAGATTAATCATGGTCTTGATTTGAATTTGAAAATTGAGTTTTTAGGAAAGAATTAGAAAACTGACTTTAATTGATTGTTTTGTTAGCAGTTACTCAAGGGCTTTCTTCTACTTATGCTAGTGGAGAAGAAATAGGGGATAGGAGACTTCAGGAGTCGAGAAACTGAGGAGCAAGCAATGTCTACTAAGATAGACTGTTTTTAACATAGCTGGTTTTTCCACTAATTATGAAAAGTTGTTTTCCTTAAGTGTTGTGTGGATGGAACAAAAGTCCATGGCAATACTAACACTAGCACCAACACCAGCAATGAAGCAGACAACATGATTAAAGGGAAAGATAAAGGGGTGTCAGTGAGACTATTTCGTGGAGAAGTTGAGTCCTGGAGAAGAAGACAAGGCGCTCTCTGAAGTTATTTCAGAGACTTTGAACAAGGGGAAGGCTGAGGCAGTGACAGAGTCGGAGGAGGTGAAGAGGAGGTTAGAGAGTAGTGGTCCAGGAGAGCATTCTGGTGAAAGGTTCCATTTAGGCTCTGTGCATATTCCTGATAAAACTCTGGTTGATAAGCTTAAAGGTACTGTTGGTTCTTTGTTTGTCAAAGGTGAAGGGTCCAGGGCATCTCAGCAGCATAGTTACTCCAATGCAGGTAGAGATTAATCATGGTCTTGATTTGAATTTGAAAATTGAGTTTTTAGGAAAGAATTAGAAAACTGACTTTAATTGATTGTTTTGTTAGCAGTTACTCAAGGGCTTTCTTCTACTTATGCTAGTGGAGAAGAAATAGGGGATAGGAGACTTCAGGAGTCGAGAAACTGAGGAGCAAGCAATGTCTACTAAGATAGACTTGTGTGTTTTTAACATAGCTGGTTTTTCTACTAATTATGAAAAGGTGTTTTCCTTAAGTGTTGTGTGGATGGAACTGTAATGAAATTGTAATGGCACTGCATGGATATATAAATTGTCGTGGACACTATGGAATTCCATGTTATCTAACTCTCAAGATCTGCTTTGGTCCATCATGTTATATATTTTCTTAAATATATATTATAAATTTTTTAATCTTTTGAGAAAAAAAGGGAAAAAATTCAATTTTTTAAGTGTAATTCTATATTAACCAATCAAAGTAACACAGATTACTCAAATTGCGAGGATGAAGAAAACGGGATTTGAGCTTGGATTTTCATCAATGGACAAAGTGATGGGATAGGAGGAAGTCCAGTAAAGAAGTTCATGTAAGAGGCTTCTGGTGAAAGGTGGATTCTGATTCTGTGATTAATTTACAAGGCTATGATTGATGAGCTAAAAGGTGCTAGTGATTCTTTGTTAAAGGTAAAGAGTCCTGTTCATCTCAGCAGAAGCCATCTGGTTCCTCCAATTCAGGCAATCCTTCCTGTCTTGAATTGAATTTGAAACCTGATCAGTTTTAAGTAAATTCTGAAAATTCATTGCATCACTCACATAGTATTTCTGATTGGCTATGCTGGTATGTCTTTTGCTGTTTTACCAAGCTGGAGTCAAAGGGTTTTTTTCTACTTGTGCCAGTGGAGGGAGAAGAGACTCGAGGAATCAGTGACTTGAGCTTGTTGAATTTTCAGAGTGATTGTGTTTGTTTTAATAGTGATCATCACTATCATCATCACTTCCAATTGTATTCAAGCAAGAGAGTGCAGAAGCAGTTCCTCTGTGGTATTAATATTATGTTCAAATTTGAGCATCCAAACGGTGAAAGTTTGGTGTGATGGTGATAGTTGTGATTTGCTTGAATAAATCAGAAATATTAGGAAGGAAATAAATGGATGGATCAAGTAATATTCTTGATAAGAAATTCTAAAAAGTTACGCATTTCTTTGATGCTGTGAGGTCCTTGTTCCTAAAAGCATAAAATTGAAGCTGCTTTGAGTGCGCTGCAAGTTCCTGATGATTTAACTCTTTGACACATTGGACTTATTCGGAGTGCATCTATTATGTGGGTTCGAGGAAATGTGATGATGATATGATTAAGGATTCACAAAAATAATCTTTAAAAAATATAAATTACGATCAAAATGTAAAGATATACAACTCAAACTAACTCAAAATTTAAAATGATTTAAGTTGAAAAAAAAGAAATTAAGTTAATTAGTGACTTTATAGATCTAGGTTGAACTTGTTAAAACTTGAATTGTAATTTATTTATTTATTTATTTTTTAAAAAATAATATATTATTTTGATCTTTTTAATAAATATATTATTTAAAATTAACCTGGTTAATTTTCCTAGTATACGATTCAAGCTTTAATATAAATCAATATTTAAAGTATCTAAAAATATAATTATAATTATTTTTAGAGTATTTTTTGCTTAGAAATATATTTAAAAAATATTTTTTAAATTAACATACCAAAATAATTTAAGAATATTAAAAAAATATGAATTTAAATTAAAATAAATAAAATAATTTTTTAAAAAACGTTTTCAAAATAAAAAACAAACAGTCTATTAAATCAGTTTTTATAAATATAATGGTGAGAAATGAGACAGAGATCGCCTAGGCCCTGCGTATATAATATTAGGGTTCTCTCTAGCTTCAATTATACCACTGCTTTTGGATACATATATTGTAAATTTGGACCATTGGGCCTCTAACAGTGAGTTCCCCTTTCTATAGTGCCATACCTGTCTTGGGCCTTGGCCTTACACTCAAACACCAACCAGTCTAAACTCCAAGTCCACTTACGTGGTTATTTTCTTGAAGTGACATGTTTTTCTACGAAAAACTTTTGATTGCAGGGCTTAATCCCCTCGCATTTGGGGTTTTTATTTTGTTCACTGCAGTCCTTTCCCTTCCTTTTACAAAAATATAAATATAAACACCCTGCTGAAGGGCTGTAAGCACCTTATGCTTAATCTTTTCAACAAATAGGTTAGAACCAGGTGGAAGGGCTGTAAGCACCTCAAAAGACTTATGCTTAATCTTTTCAACAAATAGGTTAGAATCAGGTGAGTCCCCAGCTTTTTCTCATTCTCTAATGTCTTTTTTGGGGCCATCTCGCTTGAATTTGCCTTGCAGTTCCTCTGTTCAATGAGCATTTGCTGTAAAGGTAAAACCCTTATTTCGTTCAATTGAGTTGTTTCTGTTTGATGGGTATTTCTCAATTTTATTGTCGAAAAAGTTTCAAGCTCTATGAGGTGGAAAGTTTCAATCTTTTGGTTGGTTTCTTGGATTTGTTGAGTATTGTAAAGCTGGTGAGATAATGGGTCTAATAAGGTCAAACAATGAACTCTGCAGCTTTATTTGGTATGAGGGTAGTTCATAAATTTTTGTGCTTTCCTTCCATTTCGAGGAGGTTATGTGATTATAGTTTTGATGGTGGTGATAATAATGATAATGGGTTTCAATATGTTGAAGAACCCTTGAAGAGAATGTATAAATGTTCAGATTTTGATTCTTTTCAGAGTGAAAGTTGTGTTGAGGAGGAACATTTCTCAGTTAGGCGTAGTTATGTTGAGTGCACAAGGATTGATGCTGACAGAGTTCTTGATATTCTAAGACGAGATGGCCCTGGATTTGATGCGAAAAGGGCTTTAAGTGAGTTAGAGATAAAGGTTTCGTGGCTTCTTGTGAGAGAAGTTTTTACTGGAATTTTGAGGAACATAAATGAGGAGAACAAAACCAGGTGTGCGAAATTGGGGTTTAAGTTTTTCATGTGGTCTGATCAGCAGGGAAATTACAAGCACACGGGTAATTCATACCATTTGTTAATGAAGATATTTGCAGAGTGTGAGGAGTTTAGGGCGATGTGGAAACTAGCTGATGAGATGGTTGAGAAGGGGTTTCACACTACAGCACAGACATTTAATATATTAATTTGTACTTGCGGTGAGGCTGGTTTGGCTATGAATGTTGTGGAAAGGTTCATTAGGTCAAAAACATTCAATTTTAGGCCTTACAAGAACTCCTACAATGCGATTCTGCATTCACTACTGGTTCTGCGTCAGTACAAGTTGATTGAGTGGGTATATCAGCATATGTTGGAGGAGCGTCATTCCCCGGATGTTCTTACTTATAATGTTATTTTGTATGCAAAATGTAGGTTGGGGAAGGCACCTGAGTTTCATAGATTACTTGATGAAATGCTTAGTTGTGGAATTTTTCCAGATTTTCACACCTATAACATCCTTCTACATGTTTATGGAAAGACAAACAATCCAGTTGCTGCACTTGATCTCTTGAATGCTATGAAGGAAGCGAGTATTGATCCTACTGCTCTTCATTACACTACGTTGATAGATGGACTGGGTCGGGCTGGAAATTTACTTGGCTGCCAGTATTTTTTTGATGAAATGATAAAAGCTGGATGCATACCAGATGTTGTCTGTTACACAGTAATGATCACAGGATATATAATGAATGGTGAGCTTGAAAAGGCACAAGAAATGTTTGAAGACATGATAGTCAATGGCCAATTACCAAATGTATTTACATATAATTCTATGATTCGTGGGCTTTGTATGGCTGGGAAGTTTGAGGAAGCATGTTCCATGCTCAAAGAAATGGAATCCAGAGGCTGCAATCCTAATTTTCATGTGTACAGAACCTTGGTAAGAAATTTGCGGAATGCTGGAAAGCTTTCGGAAGCTCATGAAGTGATAAAGCAGATGATAGAGAAAAGCCAATACAGCCATCTAGTGACAAAGATCAAAAGATATAAGAGATGATGCGATGGTACATGTTGTACCTTATTTAATTTTCAATTGTAACTTCATGGGAGCATTCTCAATGATTCAGCTCAATTGATGCCTTGTACCTGATTCCAGTATTATTTTTCATGGAAATTAGTAGGGTAAAGTATGCATATCTTTTCTCCCTGGTCTCATTTACTCTTGAGATAGAATAGAAGGCTTGGTTTTCCTTTATATTTCTTACGTGAAGTTTTTGAAAAACTTCTCTGGATCATCAGCTTCTTGTGATGCTTCTGCCTATCTGAAAGTTGCTGTGTTCTAGTAGTATTGATATAATGATTTCTAAGTTTTCAATTCATTTATGTGCATCCTACCATTATGATGATGCTACATGATTTTTTTGTTAACCCTCATTTCTACCAGGAGCTGGGATGATAATTTCTTTTGGCACTCAAGCTATCTTTTGAAACTGATATCATTATCTCAATCATTGATCATTTTGTAAGTGGAAGTTGAAAATGGCCTTTGTAATGAGGAAACACCATAAGAATATGGATCTTGGAAGTTTTAAAGAATAAGATTGGATGCTAATCAGACTGGCTAGTAGGTTGACCTGGAACCTAGTGGATTTAAACTGCTTTGAGTTGAAAAAGAAAAAAAAAAAACCTGGGTTGATTAGTGACTTTCAATATCTATGGGTTTAGTGTTCTGTAAACTACTGTGACTTTCCAGTTTTGTATTAAATTACTTTACCCTTTATTTACTTGAATGTTTGAAAGTTTATATTTTGAACCTTCATCTCAGAAGTTATATTGTTTATGGATCGATGTGTAATTCTTTTCCGCATTTAGTTTGTGATCGGTAATTGAGAATTCCAAGTGTTAGCATTTTGGTTATTTTGAGGTTAAGATTTCAGGAGTTTGGTGTTTCAAGGGAGGATTCTGAGTAGGTGTCGTGGAATAGGGTTAGATGAGGGTAAAAAGTGAAGGCTGTGGCCGTGCCATTGAAGTTGGTGATGCAGGTGTGCCACTGGTTACGCAGGTGGGGGTAATGGATTGGTAGAGAAAAATAATGTAATTGTGGCAGCAGTTGTTTCAATGTCAGTGCTGCTAATAACCTTGCCGTATTAAGGTGCCCATGGACCAGTTGCTCATATCTAGTGACGGCGCTCACAACAGTGGCACATCAGGAGCAATGTAAATCCTTGTCAATGTTTACTGGAATTAAGATCTTTTTGTGAAAAGAACAGTGACTTTTGGAATTGGAGAATGGAACTGCAAAAATACTGAACTTTAAACTTCAATGCGGTCTATGGGAAGAAAGTTGATTCAAGAAAGAAAAATGTGGTTGGTGCATATGACGAGAATTGAGGTTTCTTGGTAAGAGCAATTCTTAAATTATCAAAAGATGGTGACAATTCCATGTATGAAAATTCTTCTCTCCTAACCTCAAGAATTTTCCTTTGAAGGCCAAATACCTTTTATACTGTTATTCTTGGAACTTCTATTCTGCTATTTGTTCACTGTGCCTCTGTGCGACTATCCCATGATAACCTTCGGCCATGTTCCAGTTGTATGAGCGTGACATCTGATTGAGAACTTCATATTTGTGAGCTACACTGAAAGATGGAGACATCAAGAAAACTTGCCGCAATTTTCCTGCATTGGATTGCTTTTGGAACACGGCACTAATTATTTCTTTTGAGATTTTTGTCACCACTGTCCACAAGTTGCAACAGACCAGCTGCGCTTCACGATTTTGTTCTTCCGTGTAAAGCTAGTCCATCTGCTGGGCCAATTTGGCAGACTATCGGAGTTTACCATTGTACTGATCATTAACCAAGTTCCAGCCATGCTGACGTGTAAGAGTTTTGGCAGCAGCCCAAATGACAATTATGTTTCTGGGCTGCTCGTATTGTCATCATTTCTCAAAGAGCATGCCGTAGCCAGTTGAGAACGTGAAAATGATTTGCATAGCAAGACAAAACAGGCCAGATCATGGTGCTCAATAATTGTGGAGGATGTGTTTGATTCCTTTATCCCCTGTTAGTATTATATCTAGGTAGTTTTTGATATCTTTGACATCATTGAAATTAAACGGGGCAGAACAGGCCTGTCAAAACTCTTACGAGGCTACGACTTGATTCTAAACCGCTCCGACTTGTATATCCTAGCAATTCTATACGGGTATCATTGCCTTCCTTCACATAGTTTCTGCTGTGATGTTACAAGATGAGATCAGGAATCTGGAATTAGCAGGTACTTTTGTGTGTTGAGGCTTTCAAAATCTAGCTGGCCAAGGTTTTCTGTGCCTACCTAATTTTAAAGTCCTAAGCATTGTTTCTTGTCAACTAGCGTGCTGAATGACGAACCAGCCCACTAAACATTATAATTAGGAGCCTAGCAAGACAAAAACAGATTCTGTTCTTCCTTTTTAATTTGATAATGAAAATGGCTCTAGATTTGGTGCCATAAATTTCCATTTCATGAATCCAGCACATGGTATCTCGGTGCATCAACTGTTTCATGCTTTCCTTATCTCATCTTTCTTTTTTTTAGATCTTCGAACCCATCCACGAATTGTTCATGGTAAGGTGACCTCATTGATGTCACTCTCTTGCATTCTCCCTCGTAATCTTTGAAAGAAAGAATGATGCAATTTGCCTGTCCTTCTGTTTACTTTTTTCCGGTGAAGGAATCTTAATGGCACATGCAGTGGAGAATGTATTTTGGATGGACAATGACCCTTTAACTAATAGGAAGAGGAAGCTCGTTTGACCGAACTTTGTCCTCCATTACACAAAACCAGCGAGATTTCCTAAATTACATGTAAAAAGAAGATCCCAAATTACATTAGCTTAATCAACATTGCTAATATCAAAGGAAGGTTGTTAAAATGATGCATAGGATTAGCATCCAAAAGCGCTAAAATAATAGGATAATATAAAGAGAGAGAAACCCTTCTGCCTGGCTCTAGCCAGTAACCAAGTGCTACAATTCAGCAAGTGAAGACATGGTATGAAAAACAAGCAAGCAAACTATTTCCTTGTGCAATTCAAAGCTCCACTTTTGTACATGGGTTCTTGAGATATATAGATTCTAGGAGGGTTCTTTTTCATGGGCAAAGCTCCTCTCTCAAAAACTTATTACAGTATGTATTTAGCTCTGTTTAGAATAATTAAGCTTATAACTCAAGGCAAGAAGGAGGAGGAAGAGAGGGGGGGTGAATAATTCTTGGTTTAATTGATTACTTCTTCTCCTCCTCTTTCTTTTCTTCCTTCTTTTCTTCCTTCTTTTCTTCCTTCTTTTCTTCCTTCTTTTCTTCCTTCTTTTCTTCCTCTTTTCTTCCTTATTTTCTTCC